CTGTTTTCGGAAATGATAGTAATTGTGTAGTGTATCTTAGAACTCCTTCATTTGGTGAGTATATATTAATGAGTGTATATTAATGAGTGTTATGTCTTCCTGGTATATTGTCCTTTTGATCACTAACTAGTGACCATTTAAATTGCTTGTCACATTTTTTAGTTTGAAGTCTCTTTTATCTGATATAAGGATTGCTACCCCTGCCTTTTAGGTACCTTTGCTTGTAGAATTATTTTCTAACCCTTTACTTTCAATCTATGTTTATCTTTAGCAGTTAGGTGTGTTTCCTGGAGACAGCAGAAGGTTGAATTCTACATTGGGTCTTTTTATTGGTGAGTTTAGTCCATTTCTGTTTAGGGTTATTATTCATACATGGAAGTCTGTACTTGCCATTTTGTTCATGGTTTCACGGTTCTGTATGGTACCTTGTTCAGTTCTTCCTCTTCATTCTTCTGTTGATTTAGATTTTAAGTGAAACCACGCAGTATTTCTCTTTCTCTGTTTAACTTATTTTGCTTAACATAATGTCTTAAAGATCTATCCAAGGTATTGCAAATGGTAGGAATTCTTTTTCATGAGAAAATTATATTCTCTTGCATTTATATGTTTGTGTATATCCACATCAACATCTGCATGTATATTTATACCTATGTCTCTGACATATCTTTATCCATCTGTTGATGGACTCATTGGTTGTCTCCATGTCTTGGCTATTGTGAGTAACGCCGCAGTGAACTCGAAAGCACAGGTAGTTTTGAGATCCTGATTTCAATTTTGTATATATTTTCAGAAGTGGGATTGCTGGATCACATGGTAGTTCTATTTTTATTTTTTTTGAGGAAGCTTCATGCTGTTTTCCGTAATGATTATGCCAATTTACATTCCCACCAACAGTGTACCAGACTTCCCTCCCTCCCCCGCATCTTAGCCAACATTTGTTATTTCTCGTCTGTTTCATGATTGCTGTGAGGTGATATCTCATTGTGGTTTTAATTTTCATTTCTTTGATGATAAGTGATGTTGAGCATCTTTTCATGTACTGCTTGGCCATCTCTGTATCTTCACTTCTTGTGCCCACTTAGAAATCTTGTTAAGTTTTTTTTCTTTTGTTATTGAGTTGCAAGTTCTTTATAAATGCTGGATATTAACCCCTCATTAGTTATATAATCTGTAAGTATTTTCTCTTACCTTATAAGTTATCTTTCCATTTTCTTGATTATTTCTTTTACTGTGCAGAAACTTTTCAGTTTGGTACAGTCCACTTACTTGTTTTTGCTTTTCTTGCTTGTATTTTATTGTCAAATCCAGTAAATTCCTGTTGAGACCAATGTCATGCAACTACGCCCTATGTTTACTCCTAGGAGTTTTACAGTTTCAGGTCTCAAATGTTAGTCTTTAATCTATTTGAAGTTCATCTTTGTGAATGGTGTGTTGCTGTGGATTTGTTTGAATTTATCTTGCTTGAGGTTGACTAATCTTGAATCTGTAGGTTTATGCCCGTTACTGATCTAGGTAATTTGAGCTATCATTTCATCTAATATTTTCAGTCCCACCCTTTTCTCTCCTTCTGAGACTCTGGTTACCTGAATGCTAACTCATTTGATGTCCACAACTTTTTTTTTTAAAGATTTATTTATTTATGCATGTAAGAACTGTGGTACAGGCCAGAGGTGCAGGGGTGGGGTGTTGAGCGGATCACCAGAGAGAGAGTGGGGAGCAGAACAGCCAGATCTACTGAAATACACTGCTGAGGGGAACAGCTGGTGAAACAGGAGAGGTCTGCTGCGCCATGTGGGTCAGCAACTTGGCCGGCTGGGATTTGAATTTGTGCTGCAGAGTTGCAGACAGCTTCACAGAGCTGTGCTTAACCCCTTGCACCACCAGGGAGGCCCAATGCCAGTTTACTGATTTTATTTTACACAAATGTGTTTTTTTAAATATAACAATTATACACATATATTTTCAATAAGGCCAAAAAGAGTTAAGACAACATTCATAATCATTATACAATTTATTGTGATAGTAGAATAATTTTTCAATGGAAAATTTTCCACTACAAAGCTTTATAAATTACTAATTCAAGATGTAAAAATATTAGAAATATTTAGAGTTCCAACTGTTACAGGGCAGCCCCGACATAAAACGGGTTACCTGGCTGTGGGTACTCACCCATGCGCTTAAAAGGGACTTATTAATACTCCACTACAGGCACACACAAAAGGTTAATAAAAGGTTTATTTGCAAGGGAAGGGGAAATGAGGAAATGTACAACTCAGGGAGAAAATAGGGACGCATCTTAAATGTGTCCTACTCAATCCGCTGACCTGGAAACCCAATGGCACTCTGAGAGCTGGCGGAGAGCCAAAAGGGGTCATGTGTCTGGTTTTATACCAAACCTGGCTGCTTAACTCCACCCTCAGGTTCTAGTAACCTTCCCTTTGGTGGTGATGGGATTTGTCTCTCCCAGTGTCCTGATGGCTTTGGTCTGGAGTGGGGGTGGAGTCCACAAAGCCTGTATGGAATTAGTCAGGACATCCTTTCCCCCTAACACAAGAAGTTTGACCACATTCCAATGCAATTCACTTCCATTTTGCTGTTTAGCCAATCCAGTGAGTTTTATATTTTTCAGTTCTAAATTTCAGTTCTACAGCTGGTTACTAATTTTTTTAAATGAACAAACTTCTACTTGTCTTCTTTTTATCCTTTATTTCTTGGCCAAAGCTTTCTAATTTTTTCAGTTGTTTCAAGTATGTTTGTAATTTCTTGTTGAAGCATTTTTACAATGTCATCTTTAAAATCCCTATCAGCTAATTCCAAAGTTTGCATCATTTCAGTGTTAGTGATGGAGTACAAGAATAGAAAAACTGAAAAGGAGACTCACAAGGCCAGAAAACTGGCTCACACAATGCCAAGAGCTGGAGGTGGGGTAGAAGAGATTAGCATAGTCTTTGACCCAGCTATAGAAACCAAGATCCTTAGGTGCCAACGCCTGGATTACAAAGCATAAAAGCCAAGCAGGTATCAGACTGCTATAGGGAGTGTCTAGAACGCAGACCCAAAGATAAAGATACGGAGATTGAGCCCTTAGAAGAATCTCCAGTTGCTTTCACATTCTGCATATTTATCCAAAATCAGCGACTAACTGAAGGCTCACAAGGAGTGAGCCGCTCCCAAAGAGAAGATGATATTTGTGCAGTCTCTGCACTGGCCTGGGGCAGTAGTCCGTCTGCCCACCTGTGACTATGCAGGTGATTCCACCAACTGTCTCCCTTTGCAGGGCAGCAGCTTCCTGCCCGCCTATGACCTGTGCCATGCCGGGGTTTCTCTTCACTGACCTCCCTCAGTGGAGGCAGTTCTCGTTAAGGCCTCCCGCCTGCAACCATGCAGGCCTCTCTCAGCAAACCTGCCCCTTTCGGGGCAGCTCTTTCTGCCCACTAGTGTCTATGCAAGTGTCCTTCATTCTTCTGTCCCCTTTTCCTAATAAACCTGTTCTTTAAATATAACTACCATCTCTGTCTTGTGGAGAAACTCTCCTGGGAAACTTGGCACATGCTGCTGAAAGGGGAGCTCTGGTGAAACCTTTCCCAGAGTGAACCCAAGGACCCCACATTCCAAACCCACTGACTCCAAAAATGACATCATTAGTATCTATTGATGATGCCTTTTCTTCTCTCTCTCTCTCTCTCTTTAAAGATTTATTTATTCATGCATACAAGAACCGGAGTACAGGCCAGATGCGTGGGAGGGTGAGAGGATTCACCAAAGACAGAGCAGGGAACACAACTGCTGAGAGGAGCAGCAGGCTGTGCCATGTGGGTCGCTCCCTGGCTGGGGATTGAACTCGTGCTACAGTGGCTATGGTTAGCTTCATAGGTTGCATCTTAACCCCTTGTGCCACCAGGGAGGCCTGATGATGACTTTTCTAATTGGAGTTGAGATTTTCCTGGTTCTTGGTATGATGAATGATTTCTGATTGTGTGCTGGACATTTTTGACATTGCTCTATCGGATTCTGGATCTTATTCAAATCTTCCATTATAAAAAACCTTTGGAAATACTGCACCAGTAAAGTGTGTGTGTATGTGTGGGGTTATCTTCTTGCTCCTGAGTACAGATAGAACTCCAGTGTTTCCATTGTTTTTTTCCTTAGATGGTTGGCTAAAGTAGGGTGGTTAGTGTCAAAAAACATTTCTGTCTTGAGGTGTCACCTTTTTTTCTGGTCCTTTGAATAAAGAAAGCAGAGTTACTTGAGGCTTTTTTTTTGGTCTGCACCTGTTGCTATTTCTTGGTTGCAAAGTTTCTAGTGCCCAATTTGGGATAGATAGAAGGCAAAAAAGAAAACCTGGGGAAATACAGTGTCAATCCTCAAGTTTTGAGGACTGTACCTACTCTACCTTCTTCTTTCCACCCTTCAGACTTTTTAAATATTTGGTTTATGTATTATATTCAGATATTTCAGGTATGTCCAGATATTTTAGTTATAGTTAGCTGGAATAATAGGGGTAAATATGTCCGCTCCATCTGCTCTCCATTCCTGCTCAGTGGGGCAGAGCAGTCTAGGGCTAGGCGAGGTAGCACCTTCCTCCCACACCCCGTCTTCAAAAAGCGCTGAGCTCAACGAGGAGACCCACGCGGCCGCGCGACTCGCTGGGATGTTCTCTGAAGTCTCTTCCTGGGACCTTTGCATTCATTCTGATCTCACCTCACAATCAGACACCACCACCCGCGCGCCCCGCAGAGTAAGCATCTTGAGTGACTGTGAGGATGAGCGGCGGAGGCAAGGAGCGCGCAGCACGGAAGGCGCGCGCCTGCAAACCAGAAAGACTCGGAGACGCAGAGCTGCTCGTGGACCGCACGTTTATTGACTGAAGGGGCGTGGGCTACGGTGCAGCGCGCGGACACCCGGGGGCCGGGGCGCGCCGTGGAGACGCGTCATCACGCGCGCGCCCAGCCCGCCGGCGCCCCCCCGTCACGCGCCTGCGCCGCGTCGCGCCCGCGGCCTTACTTGCAGGGCCAGGAGGGCGCCTGCTTCTGCTGGGTCTGGTGGCAGAGCGGGACGCCCTTGCCGCCCCCGGAGCCGCCCCCGGAGCCGCCGCCGGAGCCGCCGCCACAGCCGGAGCCGCCCCCGGAGCCGCCGCCACAGCCGGAGCCGCCCCCGGAGCCGCCGCCACAGCCGGAGCCGCCCCCGGAGCCGCCGCCACAACCGGAGCCGCCGCCGCAGCCCCGGAGGAGCCGCCGCCGCCACAGCCGCCGCCGCCGCCTGAGGAGCCGCCGCCGTAGCTCGGAGCGCACGAGGTCTGGGTGGTCTGCTGGGAGGAGTAGCCCGAGCCGCCCCCGCCGCAGCCGCCGCCGCCGCCGCCGGAGGAGCCGCCGGAGGAGCCGCCGCCGCAGCCCCCGGAGAAGCCGCCGGAGCCGCCGCCGCAGCCGCCGGAGGAGCCGCCGCCGCCGTAGCTCTGGCACGAGACCTGCTGGCTGGAGCCGCCGCCGCAGCCGCCGCCGCCGCCGGAGTAGCCGCCGCCGCAGCCGGAGCCGCCGCCGCCGCCGGAGTAGCCGCCGCCGCAGCCGGAGCCGCCGCCGCCGCCGGAGTAGCCGCCGCCGCCGCAGCCGGAGCCGCCTCCGCTGCCGCCCGAGGAGCCGCCGCCGCCGCAGTACTTGACGCCCCCGCCGGAGCCGCCCCGGAGGAGCCGCCGCAGCCGCCGCCGCCAGAGGAGCCGCCGCCGCCGCCGCAGCCGCCGCCGCCGAGTAGCCGCCGCCGCCGCCGGAGTAGCCGCCGCAGCCGCCGCCGCCGCCGCCGGGGTACTTGACGCCCCCGCCGGAGCCGCCGCCGCCGCCGCCGCAGCCCCCGGAGCCGCCGCCGCCGCCGCCGCCACAGCCGCCGCCGCCGCCGCCGCCGGAGCCGCCGCCTCCGCAGCCGCCGCCGCCGCCGCTAGAGAAGCCGCCGCAGCCGCCGCCGCCGCCGCCGGACTTCCCGCAGCCCATGGGGGGCTGGGGCGTGGGCTGCTTTTTCTGGGACATCGCGTCGAGGGAAGAGGTGAACCCTGGGGGGAGAGCGGGAGCGTCACTGCGCCCGCGGCCGAGGACGCCTGCGGGAGCCGGATGGCCCCGGCCCGGCGCGGGCGCGCCCCCGCCTGCATCCTGGCCCGCTGGACCCCGCGGCCCGGGGCTTCCAGGGGGAGTGGTGGCCCCCCCGACGGTCCGTGCGGAGCTGCATGGCCGCCCCGCTCAGCTCGGCGCCCGCCGCCCGCTGTGCGCCTCGACTCCTCTCCTGGAGCTCCGAGGCGAGGCAGAAGGCTCCAGGATTCCATCGCCCGGGGCCGGCTCTCTGAGTTCACGTGGAAAATTAGCTCAGACGTGCAGCCGGGGGTGGGGGAGTGGGGGTGGGGGCGCATTTGACCTGTCCCTGGCACAGCAGAGGGAGGTTTGCAGCGTCCCGTTCTCTCACAGGACCTTAGTTCAAACTCTTGGTCTGTCCCATGAAGTTGGCCTTGACCTGGGCCAGTTACCAGAAAAGGAAGGCCCCCCCTGCGCCTGTCTGCAAGCCGGGAAGAGGATGCCAGCCTCTGGCCAGAGCTGTCAGCCATGGCCTGCGCCATTGCCTGTGTCCATTCTTGGTTGGGGGAACCCTAGCTAGTAGGAAGCTGTGTCCTAGTCCTGCACAAGTCATCTCCCTCTCAGGACATCTCTCTGCAAAACAGGATTGGGTTCTTGTGCTCCTAAAACCTCCCCCAGCTGCAGCAGTCTGCGAAGCATTCTCCCTACTCCAGAGAGTGGCTCAGCCTCTCCTGGTAGATACATGAGGTCCATTCAGGCCACTCACAGGCCGCCTGGGGCAGTCTCTGCAGAGTGCCCTTTGTGCCCAGACCCCAGCCGGAGACAGGAGAGCCAGCAACACCATCTGCTCAGCAGCGGCTCAGCCCTCTCTTCCCTGCTTGGATCCCCTCTAAATGTGAGTGCAATTGGAAAGGGAGAGGCCTGTAGCTCCCGAAGCACAGAGGGGAGGCCTGTCCACCCTCTGGTCCACCCTGCCTTTGCAGGCTTGGATAGGACCAACTGTGAAGACAAGAGCCAGCAGCAGTCACACTTACCCAAAGCACCAAGGAAGGGTGAGTGAGGAGAGGAGATGCTGGCTCTGTGAGGAGCTCTGGAGCCCTGAGCTTTTATACTCTGAGAGCCCTGACTCATCTATTGATCTGGGCAAGCCTCTCATTTTTGGCCTCAGTTACGTGACCCATGGCTGTCGCTCCACCTCCCTGTGATTGCAGGCATGGGGTGGCCCATTCGTGGAGATTTTGGCATTCTTGAAATGGGCAACAAAGTGTGTGACTGGCCCCTTCTCTGATGCAACTGCGTGGCAGGCTGGCCAGCAGGGATGGCCAGCCAGAGTGGATAGCAGACATTGTTTCCCAAACCTCTGGCATGGGCGCATGCCATACTCAGAGGGCTGTGCTTGAGGAATAGGGCTCTGACTTTTGAGGTGGCCCAGGAGACGTACACTTGAGATCTCAGTCTTTGGCCCAAGGAGTAGTACCTTTCATTTGGCCTCTAATCTATCCCATTGCTTGGAAATCCTCTGAACTTTAGAGAGAACTAGGACCTTCTTTGCCAGAAGTTTCTCTCCTGGTATAGCAAGTATGTTTTACTGGGGGATGTGTCCTGCTCACTGGCTTGAGACCATGAAAAAGCCACAGCGCCTAGTTCTGGCTGGCACACCATGGACAGCACCATAACAAATGGGGCACTGACAACTACTTTGATTTATTTCTGGAGACAGCAAGGGTCTGAAAAAATTGGTCACTGGTACTCATGTTCCTTGCAGAGAAGCAAGCTAAAGAGATCAGCGACGGGGACTTACCCCCCATGGTGTTTTGGGGGTCCTGCAATCTTGTGTAGCAACACTGACCTCAGCCTTAGAGGCAGCTATGGAATGTAATGGACTTGAGGTTAGGTGACTGGGTTTGGGTGCTCCCTATGCTACTTGCCAACTGTGTCACCTTGGCAAAGTCACAGCACCTCGTCTAGTGCCAGCACCTAGGAGCACGCAGTAATTGCTGACTATTGAATGAACACGTTTTCTGATGCTCAGCTACCTTGTCTGTAGTAATACAGAAGAGTGGCACCTCTCTCACAGGCTGTAAGGAGGAGATAGTTCTGTAAAGTATGGAAGGTGATGGTCTTTTCATTTTTTTCCTCCCACCACAGCGCATTCTTCCCCCCAGCTTGGCCTTCCCTTGGACACCAGGCTGGGAGGAAGTCCATGGATGGCTCGAGGCTGAGCCTTCTCTTAGGAACATAGCTCAAAAGATCCCCATTGACCCCGGGCTGATAGCATCACCTTTGTGAATGAAGAACACCCATTCCCTCCTTTCATCACCAGAACTCAATTGCTACTGTTTCAGGTACCACATTTGAACTTGTTCCACTCAGCTGTGTGTTGAAATGACAGCACCAACAGTACATTGACTGTTAATTATGGTGGAGTTTCAATGATCCCAATGATCCTGATTAGTCTGTGGCCTTCAGAAACTTGTGGCACTAGTTTTAGCTTGAACATAGTGAACCTGAGGTGAACCCAGCAGGAATGCAGGTGTTCCCCTCCAGAGAGAACAGCCAGGAGGGAGAATTGAGGCACTGTATGTGCAGGCAGGCGTCTCGCTTTGAAGCTGAAGCATCCTGGAGATCTCGGGGGGAAATAGGTTCCAACCCCACACTTTATTTAGTTGGCCACACTGGAGAAGGGGAGGAGATGCGGACCGGGTTCCACATTGATCTGTGGGTCCCCAGTGGCCCAGTACTGGGTGTTTGCTTGTCCTCAGGAATACGTAAGTAAAAGCATGTTTGCAATGCAGTGTGTTTTTGTGAAGGGAAAATTGGGAGTCTGAAACACTGGCCTCCTACTGTTCTTGGTATGAAAATGTCATTTCTTTCATGTCCTTCCTTGTCAAAATGAAAATTTAGCTGTCATAAAGTAGTTTCCATATTTAGAAAAGGGAAATGTTACATTTCTATGAAATTCCAACATTTGGGAACCCCAAGTGCAGGAGACCCCAAGAAGCTACTAACTTCCAAATCGCCCACGTTGGTTTGGAGGGTCATGTTCTTACAAGAAGGATATGTTTTCTATCACATTTAAGATCTGCATGCTTTATTCATTAATCAAGCCAACACCACTGTACTGGACAGGACATGAGCAGCAGGGAAGAGCCAGATGCCTTTACAAAGCTGTGCATGGATTGCCAAGGCAGATTTGGGGTAGGGGTACCCCTGCCTGCCTCTGCCACCCTATGTAGAATTGAATAAGGAAAGCTTTCTGACTGGTACTTCCACTTCGCCAGCATGTAGATGAGGCTGGTGCAACATGGTGTCGATAGCGATGCCAGGTCTGTGGCTCTGAGTTAGCCTTGCCCCACGTGTTCATGCATGAACCTGGTTTCCCATGCTACCCTAGACCGGAAGTCATGGGATGTCTGTGTGGACCGCAGTTAGTGATCACATTCTATCATACCAATGAGGAGATGATGGCAGATTTTAGAATTATTACTTTCAGGTATTTGGAGTTTTGTAAGACTCAGCGTGTCAGATTTTTAAGATTTGTAGCCTTTAGACACTTAGCCCTGAGTGGGTGCCTGCATGGACATTTCAGTTCTGCAGCCTCATGGATCAGATGGTGGCTCCTGCCTGCACTGGATCTTTAGTGGGCACCAGAGCATAAAGTGAATGTTTCAAGGTACCCAGGTGATACTGAGTGTAACAGTGCTCAGTATATCCAGGTGGAATTGAAGGGAACTCTTGAGGGGAACTAAGAGCTTTGGTGTGAGGGGGGCATGGTCTCTGTTTCAGCAGTCTGTGGGAAATTACAGTTCTTGAGCTTGGGGGAGTCCCCAGTTTGAGGGAAGCCTGCTCATCGCAGTCATATATAGCTAAGCTACACACATGTATTCTTATGTCTGAATGCTGACCACAGGGAGCTTGTAAGTGCAGAGTGGACACAGGGCAGAGGCTTAGGACACGTTGGCAGGGCAGGTGTAGCGTTTGAAAGCTCTATGCATTTTACATTCAAAGAGAACAGTTTTTTCCTGACCCTTTGTTGGGTTCTCTATATTCTACCTAAGTGAAACCGTTTGATATTTCTTTTTCCTTCTGACATTTCATTTAGCATTATCCCTTCCAATTCTATCATGTTGCTGCAAATGGTGTTAGTTTATTTTTTTGATCACTGAGTAGTATTCCATTGTCTGTTTTAGGACATCTGGGTTGTGGGAAAATATGGAGACCTTCACCTGAGGGGAGAAATCAAATACTGTACAGAAATGAACAATAATGTAAGAAAATAAATAAATTTAATAAAATAACAGAAAGGGCACAGTTTTCTCTGAGAGTCCTGGCCCAGGAGGTGTATCAGAGCCTCAGGCTTCTGGGCTGCCATCTGCCTCCTCTCTCCAGCCCTCCTGGAGTGGTTTGAAGAGGTAGATGTCTCAGTTGTTACTTAGAGGTCTGGGAGAAGGACAGCTATGTAATGGCTCACAACCACTGGAATTCCATCGCCAGGAAGCTTCACTGGATTCATGGCACCCACTGGTTCAGTCTCCCTCCCCACTTTCCCTTATCAAGGCCCTAAGGAACGATTGCACCACAGTTACAGCTACTAGTGACAGATTCATCTGTCCTGGAAAGAGCGCCCCCATTAGTTCTTGATTCTGCATCCTGAGATTGAAGGAGAGTTTATGATTTTATAATCCCCTGGGACTCTGAGGACGTGATGACTCTTTTGGGGGCTTGTGGGACTCATTCCTGCACAGAGGAGGGCCGCAGCTGAGTTGTTGAAGGGCTGGCAAGTAGCTGTAGACTCTGCAGGGTGAGCCGTGTGGCAGGGACAGTGTGGCACAGACCTCCCTACACAGACTCTGGTTTCTCGACCACAGTCACATGCGTGTCATGTTCCTTTTCCACACGGTCCTGTGTGCTCAGTGATGTTATCCTTATTTCCTGGAGGAGGACTGTCACATAGAGGCTAGAGGAATTGCTCAAATTCCTGCA